TTAGCACCTTAAGATACTGCAAATCCGAAAGAATTAGCACTTGTCTTTCAGAATGAGGCGACCCTCAGATTTCATGAAAATAGCGATAGGATAGAGTAAGGTAGTTTGAAGTCTGTGAAATGAGTAAAAAGGCATTGGTCAGGAAAGGAAAAGGGTATTACAATCCACATTCCTCATTCTAACGATGCTCCTCCAAACTCTCCCTCGTGTCTTTACTTCTACCATCGCCAATGCCATTTTCTTTGGAGGGTTCTGCTTTTCCTGCTTCATAACACCTTCTATACCTGGGGAGCTCATCACCATGAGTACAAGAACGAAGAAAATGTTCTAAAATAGATTGTGGTAATGATTGCACGTCTCATTTTTTTTTATTAAAAGATCATTGTACTGCAGGCTCTTACAGCTCTTATAACAATCCACGCATCAATTTTATCAAGCATATTCATACATCTGTTGCCATCCTCACTCTCTAAACATTGACTTTCTATTGAGCCCCTGGCATCAGCTCTTTTTTCTCCCTTCCTCCCCCCTTGTGGCCCCTTCATCGATTATAAATTATTGTTATTTTCATATCTCACACCGACTGCTGTCTTCCTGACAGAACTGAATTTAACCAGCATTTTTCCAAGTTCATTCAAGGAATCTAGAGAAGATAAGGAATAAATGAATGAATAGTGCATACAGGAAGTGATTATAATAACTGACCACTAAATTTAAGCTGGGTAATTGAGAGAGGACTGGAGGGCACTGAGAGAAAGATATTCAGAAGACAGTGTATTGAAGGTTTTAATGGATAACGATTTGTTGTAATCTAGAGAAAGCTGAAAAATGGGTTGTTATTGAAAAATGGGATGATACTTGACAATGGGATTTGGAAAAGAATTTGTTATTGACAATGATAAGGTCCAGGGTATGATCTTTAGAAGTGAAAGCAAAGGTGAGGCAGAGAATAAGATTATTGTTATAAGGAGGGAGTGAGAGTGAGTCTAATGATAAGAGATCCAAAACCTGTGCATCACTAAATGTGCATAGGACTCACAGCAAAACCACTGCTATCATGTCGATCCAGTCACAGTGACCCTATTGGGTTTCCAAAACCAAAACCAAATTCAGTGCCATCGAGTCTCTGCCGACTCATGTGACAGGGTAGAGCTGCCTCTGTGAGTTTCAGAGAGATTGATGGTTTCAAGCTGCTGACCTGAGAAATCACAGCTCAATGTGTAACCACGATGCCACCAGGGTTTGGGAGATGGTCATCTTTACAGGAGCAAACAGCCTCGTCTTCCTCTCTCAGAGTGGCTAGGGAGTTTGAACTGCAGAGTTCCTGAGGACCAAGGAAGCCACTTAATTCAGTAAAACTGTGAAGGGAGAGTTCAAAGAAAGCATTGATAGAATGGATTTTGCTGATTAGTGATCTGATTTGTGAGGGTCTAATGCAGCGGTTCTCAAGCTGTGGGTTGCAACCCCTTTGGGGGTCAAACGACCCTTTCTCGGGGGTCGCCCAATTCATAACAGTAGCAAAATGACAGTTATGAGTAACAATGGAAATAATTTTATGGTTGGGGGTCACCACAACATGAGGAACTGTATTAAAGGGTCGCGGCATTAGGAAGGTTGAGAACCACTGGTCTAATGGAAGGGCTTTGGAATCTCAAAGGGTTGGGATTTGAGGTTAGACTATAGATTGTACACAGAAGCCTTGAGGGGTGTAAAAACAGGGAAGATAGTGTTCTGGGTTTCATGTGACAGTGAGCATGGTCAGTCCTGGTGGTAACGTAACAGATGATAGCAGAAAGCAATGCATGTTGGGAAAAGGGAGTGAGGAGCATCTTGCCAGACGTCTTGTTCAAGACTGGTTTTCTACTTCTGTCCATGGACCATCCTCCATATAAATCACCCACTCACGTCTCCCTCCTGTTTCCTGGCTCCATTCTTCCTTCTTTCCTAACTCTTCTGAACTTTGTTCCTTGGTAAATACTTTCCCCTTGATCACAAATGGTTCATTATTCTAAGATGTGCTCTTCTCCCTGGTGTGATTCTTCCCCAGATAGATCTATTTGGTTGCAAACTGAGCCAGGGGTGTCCCGTTCAGTTCCAGACCCGAGGGGTGACCAAATGGGCTCCCCCAGTCTCTATTTGACCAGCAAGCCTATTCTCTTTCATGACTTTATGGTCTGTTCCACATTTTTCTCCTACTTGATCCAGGACCTTCAAATGAGATCCCTTTCAGAGCTGTCGGTAGTAGTATCTGGACACCACATGGTCTCAGGGTCATGGCAATTGACGTTCTTGTGGTCCATTCGTTCACCTTAGAGGTCACTCATGGGCTTTTATGACACTATTCACCCAAGTAGGCGTTAGAGCATTCTCTTTGGGGACTGTTATGCCAGTTGACCTTGGTGGTCTTCTCTCTTGACTTTCCCTCTCGTGCTTTGTATACCAGCAAACTCAAACTTGTTTCAGTTGCTAAAATTAAAACTTTTCTGTTGCTAAAATGAAAACTTTTTCAGCTGCTAAAATTAAAATAATAAAATTAAAATTAATTAAAACCTATACTTGCCATTGGACCTAACACCTGTATATGTGTTCTTTAACTTCTTCATCTAGCCAAATTCTAGGCCTTAGATTAAATGATACATCCTCAAGGAAGCATTTCTTTCCCCTTCTGATAAGTTAGGTCTGACCCTACTATATCAGAATCTGATCTCACATTTGGTTTCCCCCGACTAGACCATTTCTGCTCTGATCACTGCACTGTGGCTGTGGCTGTCTTGATCACAGCTACATCTCTAAGGTCTTCACAGGAGCAGGAGCATAGTAGGAGCCTCTCTCTCTCTATCTATCTCTCTCAGGCCCACCTCTCTCATACTGTCCACCTTAACTTGATTGGCAAAATGTGAGAGCACCATAGCTATAAGAACCTTTCCTTTACAGAACCCAGAACCGTTTTTTAATCCATTTAATAACTTTTAAAGGAATAAATTCTATAGAATACAATCCCCCAGATTACTTAACTCAGTAAGATAGAGAACAGAGGCCATCTATAACTCTATATTCACTTTATTTTTAACTTTGTTGGTTTTTATTATTAAAAGATCATTTTATTGAGGCTCTTACAACTCATTACAATCCATACACCAATTGTATCAAGCTTATCTATGTGTACATATATTGTCATCCTTCTTTTCTAAACATTTACTTTCTATTGAGCCCTTGGTATCAGCTCCTCTTTTTACCCTCCCTCCCCCACCCCTTATGATCCCTTGATAGATTATAAATTATTATTTCATATCTCACACCAACCACTGTCTCCCTTTCCCCATAGTTTCTGTTGTTCTTCCCCCTGGAGGGGGGTATTGTTATGTATCAATCATTATGATGTTTCCCTATTTTCCCCTCGTCCCCCGCCCTTTCCTCTACCCTTCTGGTATCGCTATTCCCACTCCTGTTCCTGGATTCCATCTGTCGTGCTCTTATCTATACCTGTGTACATGCTCTGGTCTAGTCCGAAGTGAGAAGTAGCTCAGGGGTCATGATAGTGGAGAGTGAGGAAGCCTCAAAGAACCAGAGGAATATTGTATGTTTCACCAGTGCTATGCTGTGCCCTGGTTGACTCATCCCCTCCCTGTGACCCCTCTGTGGGGGGATGTCCAATTGTCTACTGATGTGTTTTGGGTCTGTGCTTCGACCCCCCTCATTCTCAACTATATGTTTTTTCGTGGTTTGTTTGCTTGTTTATTATGGGTCTTCTGATATCTGTTACAGGGTCCCAATGACACCTCATGATCACACAGGCTGGTGTCCTTCTTCCATGTGGGCTTGTCGTTTCTGTCAGATGGCCGCTTGTTTCACTTCAATCCTTTAAGACCTCAGGCATTACCATATAGACTCAAGTACAGGTCGACCCGAATATCCTCAGATGCACCAAATTCTACCACAAAAAAACTGCATTAAAAATGTGCTGAAAAACTTGAGATATTCAAGTATATTCGGTTTATCGTTTGAAAACACCATCCACTTTCTTCACCACATTGGCTTATGCACCCATTTTGTCTTAAGCAACTGTGCCAGGAGGGTGGGCATCACAAAAAGTTTGCTAGAACAAACTGAGGGAGGGTATGAGCAGAGGTGCAAAGTCCGTCCACTACCTGTGTATTGTCATATAAATATATGTACCTAGTCCAATACCTCTAATTTTATGGATTAATGTATTTGCATATGTAGACACCTATTCTTATACCTCTATCCATAGCTTTGCTTCCTAGAGCATTCCTGTTTCCTTTTACCTTTTCTGCCCCACCTTCATGCTTGCCCTGCTTCTGCCTCATAGTACTTCCTCTGTTAGATTGCTGTTGCTCCAACACCCCCAGGATCTCTATATCCCTTGTTGTTGATTTTAATTCCCTAGTTGTTCCCCACCCCACCCACCCCCGTCTATGGTGTTGTTTGCTCACCACACGCTTCCCACTCCTTTCTACCCACAGTCCCTCTGGGACCATTGGTCCTGTTGCTTTTTCCTTGAGCTTGCTTCCCATGCCTGTCTTATGTAAGTAAGCAAACTAAGAATAGCACAGACCAAACAAAAAGGGAGGGAAAACTGGGAAAGAGAAAAAAACATACATAATTCCATGTCTGTCTGCTGACTTTTATGACTATCTCCCCATTAAGTCTATTTTAGGGGGCTCTTTAGGGCTTTGTGGCTTGGCTTTGCTCCAGTTGCTGATCTGTTATGTTCCCTTCTTGATTTGCCCCACTGCAGGGGTTCAGACCACACTACCTCCCTGCCATGTGTCCCCAGTATTGTCCTCTGTCACAGGATGCTCCAGTAAGGGGACATGTGATGAGCTGTTGTTGGCCCTACAGTCCTCTCTGTGTCTTAGCTGCTCCGTGTAGGAACATTGTCCTCCGGGTCTGGTGTGCCAATATGGGGTCTAGACCAACTGTCCTTTTCTCTTAACTTTGCTGGTATTGATCGCAGGAATAAAAATGAAAACAAGAAATTACATCAAGAAATACCTTTATTCAAAGAGAATTCAAATGGAAGATACACTTAACATCGATTCATATATTGGTAACGTATACACTTCATATTTATGGCCTCTGTGAAAGCACAAAAGCCTCTAAGAATCACAAATTTCCGACTTGCCTTATGTGTACTTCCATGACTATCAATCACACACACAAGGAAACCAGCAGGGTCTGTTTTTAAATGGCTTTCCCCCAAACTTACAAAATGAGAAAGACAAAGTATGTCAAAAGGCAGCACAAGCAGTAACAGACCCCTGAACGCATTTTGGAAAAAGCTACCTAAGGCACAACCACAGTGAACAGTTGTAAATCCCTGGTCTGACTTCACATTTTTATACTTTCTTAAAATTTCAGTTCTGCATGCTGGGTCCTTTTCCGTATTACAAGTTCTTTGAGTTTAATAGGAATTTTACACTTTAATTCCTCATATAATTACAAGTAGTAAATCTAGTGACAGGCTAGCTGGTGTATCTTTTTCTCTGAGAACAAGTTAACAAAGGCCTGAGTCAGCTCATTTCAGTGACCATGGGTACCACAGAACGATCTGGCCCCGTGCCATCCTCACAGGGCCATCGTTGCAAGTACTGGGGCAATCCATCTCCTTGCGGCTCTTCTTTTCCACTCAGCCTCTACTTCTGCAAACATGCTGCCCCTTTCCAGGGCCATTGCCTGCTGAAAACAAGCGAGAGGAAGTCTCTCTCCCGTTCTTTTAAGCAGCAATCTGGTGAGCGTTCTTCCAAGACAAACGCGGTTGGTCTCTTTGCAGTACCTTGTACTTTGAATATTCTTTGCCAACACCAATATTCAAACACATCAATTCTTCTCTGATCTTCTTTATTGATAATAAAGATATATGTGAGAAATAGTACATCTATTGAGGCCACTGCTACTCCAATATGTTTGTAACATACATGATTGCATAATGGTTTACAATCGATTTTTTCTCCAAACACGTTTTTAAAGTCATGTCATTTGAATAAATGGTGAGAAATGAGTATTTTAATATTAAACAATATTAAATCAGTATGTGCTAAATGGGAGTGTTGAACTGGTAAGAATTTTATAAAGTGGTAATCTAGAGATTATAAATGCTGCAAACAAGTACCCATTGACCTAATTTAAAAGAATCCCACTTCTTCCAATAAAGCCAATCAACAGTGAAGAAGAAGAAAACTTTTAAAGGCAATTAATGACGGTAGAATATAAAAGTAAGGGCTAAATCAAGCCACCCATGGTGACAGAATAGTCATGGCCAATGATGCCTAAGCGTCCAGGTGAGGTAACTCGGGCCTGCTGAGAAGCTTTCAGGAAGGACTGGGAAGAGGTAGCCAGGTGAGTAGGCATCTAGATCCTGCTCAGCTGTGAACAAAGATGCTCCACTTCTGTTGTTTTACAATTATACATTGATAATATGTGTATATCATTTCTCAAAATGAGCTTCTAGATGAATAACCCAAATGTGGAATATCCATAAATGGAACATCACTCAGTCACCAAGAGAAATGACATCCCCACACATGCTGCAACATAAATCTTGAAAATTTGCTGAGCAAAATAAATGAATCACAAAACAAACAAAAAATTATCTCACGTAAAGGAAATGAGCAAACAGAAAGAAACCCAAGACTCTCAGTGGTTACCAAGCGTAAGAAGGAAAGGGAAGGGGAGAGATTGTGCTTTGGGGCAACTGAGCTTACATTATTGATGACAGATTTTGGAAAAGGATCCCAAGAACGATTGTACACCATGAAGAATGTAATCAATGTCACTGAATTGTACATGTAGAAATTGTTGGATTGGTGAATGTTTTGTGGCGTACATTTTTTCTTAAAAGTGAGAGAGGGGACCGCCCTGTGTTTAAAAAAGAAAAACTTCTGAAAACAAGAGCAATATATCAATGCTTTTCCCAAATATATTTATTTAAAGAACTAAAGTTAGGACAACTTAGACAGTAAGACTCCCCACTATTGAATGATGCTTTCTTCTCTCCAAATTGCTAATGTTGAAATGTCTTGTCAACAAAGTAGACTATCGAATTAAATGGCAGGGACCTCCAGGTTAACAGCAAACATTCAGGGACCAGCATACTGCAAGGGGATATATACTTGTCCACTGTCTCGGCAACCATGACAGCAGGTGAATTCCATCTTAGCCTGCCTTTGGCAAAGAACTTTTTACGAGAAGTCAAAGCTCAGGGCTCACTTTCTGCAGACAGTGCAGAGCATTAGATGAGTGGACTGGGTGCAGATTTTCCAATACAACTGAAAGGCATGTCAGCACAGTGCTGTGCGCATAAACTTAATGTTGAATTGTTACAGGTGCTTGGCCAACATATGGAGATGCATAGCACTTGGCACACAGATCTTCAGTAAATGGCACTGAATCTATTAAAAAATTGTAATGGTCTCTAAGCAGTATGTTTTAAAAGGTGAAAGTAGGGGGATTTTTTTAAATTAGTATTATTCTTAAAAAAAATAATTCAAAAGCCTATATAAGTCCACTCTCCTAACGTAGCTGTTGAAAAACTTTTTATAAGGTACAACAGATTTTATGCTTAATATACTGTAGACTTAGGATAATACAGTATTAAAATATCAAATCTGATTGTGATTAATAGATAACTAGCATCATGCGTTCATGGATTTAAAAATCATACTTAAAAAAAACCTTAAAGAACAATAAAAAGTCTAAATGATTCTGTACACAAAATGTATGGGACCTTAGCAAAGAAAGTATAAAAATTGTCTCTTTTTGATAAGTCAAGCCTTACATTTGTTAAAAGGAAATTAATTTCCCATTATACGTTTGGTCCTCACCATGTCTTAGACAAAACAGCTGTATTCGTGTTAACAAACCCTAGTCAAATAAGCTAGTACTGTACTTGGGACAATTGCTCATCTTAGCATCTACAGAATCCTGAGCATCACACGAGGTCAATGAACACTAATGCCAAACCTGACTGTTAACAGATTGTCACCGTGAGACTAAAGATAGAAACGCCAAATAAAAAAAGGCTTTCCTACATCAGGTTCTTTTTGGTTTGCTGATTGTGCATTTTACAAGTAGATTATATGGCTTCCCTTCTTATAATCAATTTTTTGCATGAAGTTCTATGCAAGTTCATGCTCTCTTATAAACCTTGCAGTTTCTACGCTGGGCCACAATCCAGGAGCCAGCAAAAGTGGTTTTTATCCCATGAAACAGCATGGCACACAGAGCGAGGAACACAGGAAACATACTCTCTTTTAAGAAGCTCTTCATCAGGAATTGAAACTAGCCTGCAAAATAGACGCCGCTTAAAGCAAAATGAGGTCGGAGGCTTGCAAATCCCAGCTTCCTCACCATTTTTTCACTGTTACTGACGAACATTCAAGAACAGCATTTTCACCACACAGACGTAAACAATAACCACAACGCCAGGTTTCCCCACACTTTCTCATCCGAGAGGCAATTACTCTACATCACCAGCAATCATAGAATTGAATGTACAATTAACTTGGCACTTTCCTCAAAAGATACAGAGAGCACTTTGAAAAGATGAAATCCACAGAGAACTACGTTTACATCATAAGTGCTGGGGGCTTGAAATCATGACAGACTCATGATCTGAAGGGAGAGAGGGATTCTTTGCTCCAGGAGGCGTGAAGGAAGTCGGTGGACACTGGCCGACAACTTCATTCTGCAGCGGGGTTCTTGGGAGGCAGCAGCTTGTAGGTGTTGAAGTAGCCCACCACCTGCTGGGGGATCTCTGCCAGGACACACTGAGCAAGCGCTTCCTTCGGAGCCTGGTGAAAGAGAAAAGCCGGGTGACTTTACCTGCAACCAATATTTCACTGGCCTTCTGCCAAAAGGCTGTTTGACTAGTCAGTAAAAGCCGGCAGTTTCTAGCGATGCTATGAATCTGAAGGCTAACTTTATCCAGTCCTGTTTGGGTGTCAGCATTTTAGCATTTGTTTTTTTGGTAACTTTTACATCCGGGTCTTTTATTCACCTGGGCCTAATTTTTTTTTAACATTTTATTTCTAAATAAGCATAGAGTCATAAGAAGTTGACAAAAATCAAAACCAGTATAGTGATGATGCTCCACATCCCCTTGACCAAGTTTCCACAATGGTAATATCTTATTAACTCTGGGACAAAAGGAAACTAGTACTGATACTGGTGCCATCCCCAGACCTGGCTCAGGGGTCACTCGCCCTTTATGTGCTCAGTTGTGTGTCTGTCTGTAGTCTCATGTAATGCTGTCACATATGACAAATCCTAGGAGCCCCCTGGCCCCAGTGGTTCAGCACTCGGCTGCTAACCAAAAGGTCGGCAGTTCGAACCCACTATCCACTCAGCAGGACAAAGAGGTGGCGTTCTCCCATCAAGGCGGCAGGCTTGGAAATCCCATGAGGCAGTTCCACTCTGTCCTACAGGATCACTATGGGTTGGAATCATGTGCTCCTTGGTAATGGGTTTGGATTTTTCTTGCAGATGTAAATTTGTGTGGCTACTGACACAATCAAGAGATAGACTGTTTCATCATCCTCTTTTATAATCCCTCAATCACACTTTGGTCCCCGGATTTAGTGTTTTCCTTTCTTTAGGACAAATGCCCAAGAGTGTGGTTGGTGGGTCATATGGTAGATAAGTATTTAGTTTTTAAAGAAACTGCCCACGTGCCTTCCAGAATGGTGTTCCATGTTACAGTCCCAACAGCAACCGAGGAAGGAGCCAGTTCTCTGCATCCTTGTTAGCATGAGGTGTGCCCCTTATCTTGATGGTATTTTTCAGTTTAGCTGTTGTAATAGGTGTGTACGGATATCTCAGCATGGTCTTAATTGGCATTTACCTAATGGATAATGTTTAACATATTTCCTTTTCCAGAATGTAAATCCCATACCAGTTTTCTTAGATTTTTACCTAAGTATTTCTTTTATTTAATGTAATTGGCAATGTTATTAGAATTTTAATTTGGGGTTTTACATGTTTAAACCTAGCATATAGAAATATAAATTATTTTGGAAGGGGGCATTACCTTTTATCTTCTGATTTTAATAAAATTATTAGTTATAGAAAATTATAATTACTTCCCCAAAATAGATGTGAGGGGTCTTCAAAAAAGTTCATAGAAAAAAACTCACTATCTTTTCATTCCATTTTCCCACAAGCTTTTTGAAGCCCTCTCAGATAGAACTTCTGCTTCTATGAAGAGGAAGTCGTAAAACCTCCACCTAATTCACAACTTAAAGATTGTTAAAAAATAAAAAGATGAAGTAGATGTACTTTTCCCTGTTCTTATCACTGACTGAGTACATCTAAAAGTCTTTCACATTCTGTATAAAACAAAACCTAAGACCAAATGTTAAAGGAAAGGAGGCTGACTAGCTACAGACCTTAAGATCCAAAGAGCCACCCAGGAGGGAGTCGTGGGTTGTCTTTCTGCTTTATATACTCGTCAAGCTGACCTGGTATTAGGGAACCTAACAGTATGGGAAACCCCAACAAGGCACAATTTCACAAACGCTCAAACAAGTGTTTTTTATGATTTTATTTATATGCAATCCAGGATGGGTAAACTCCGCAGAGCTAGTGCGTCGATTAGAGGTTCCTTACGGTTATGGCAGGGGAGGTTGGGGAGGGAAGCGGAGAGCTAATAATAATGGCACAAGACTGAGGGAAAAGTTCTAAAATTGGTTGTGGTGATAATCACACAATTCTTTTTAATGTGGCTGAATCATTGAATTGTGTGGTATATGAATTATATGTTAAAAAAACAAAAGCAAAATACATGTTACTCTCTCTTGCCAAAGAACTGGGGGGGGGGGTCAGCCTACCAAAGGGGAAAATTTTTTGTTTGGTTAGCATGAGGGATGCTAGTAGTGTTGAAATGTTCTTTATTTTGACCAGATCAATGCCAATATCCCGGCTTTGATGTTGCAACACACTGCAGTTTTGTCAGATGTTACCACTGGGAGAAACTGGGTAAAATGACTCCCTGAAAATTTATCAACTTATCTTTTCATTTGGTAAATTCAACATAGACTTGGTTTTTTGTTTGCTTCTTTGTTTTTATGCTAGTTCTTTATGGGGTTTTGTCTGTTTTAATTTTACTGTGTTAAATACGTACAAGAAAACACTTCTCATCTTAACCGTTAGCCGGTGACATGCATTACACTGACCACATTGCCCAGCCAGCACCACAATCCTGCCCAAATATTTCTCATCACCCTAAACAGAAGCTCAAGGAACCCTGATAGCATAGTGGGTTGCAAGTTAAGCTCCTAAACAAAAGGTCTGCGATTCAAAACCATAGCCACTCTGGGGGAGAAAGATGAGGCTTTCTACTCCCATAGGGATGCACAGTTTCTGAACCTCAAAGTTCTACCCTGTCTTATAGAGGGGCGATAAGTCAGTCACCTCAATGGCAGTAAGTAACCTGAGGCTCAGTATCTCTTAGGCATCGATTATTCCCCCTTCTTCCTAATCCTGGTAACTGATACATTTTCATCTCTACATATTGTAGATAGTTCATGTAAGTGAGATTATACAATGTTTATCCTTTTGGACCTGATCTATTTGACTCAGCATAGCATGTTCAAAGTTCATCCCTGTCATAACATGTATAAAAACTTCATTTTTCTTTATGGCTAAATAATAACACGGTTTTTAATAAGTTAGCGTAGATCCCGCAGGGGGCACACCCTGAAACAATACTGCCAGCTCTAATCTGGACTTTTCAAATGAAAAAGAGAAGCATGGTCGCTAGTGTCTAACTCTGAGCACCCAGCTCAACTGCTGGGTGTACAGGTTGGCAAAGGCCTGTGTTCAAACACGTGACTGTGCACCAGACGAGGAGGCATGTACTCACGTTCTGGAACTGTCTGAAAGGCACAAACTGGACGATATCTCTGATGGCTGTTTCGCCTGATGGGGACCGGAGACTTCCACTATCCCCGTCCAGAAATTCCATGGCGCTAAAGTCGGCCCCTCCGACGCCAACAATGATGACAGACATGGGCAGCTTGGCAGCATTGACGATAGCCTGTCTGGTTTCATCAAGGTCTGTGATCACTCCGTCAGTAATGATCAAGAGCACAAAATATTGCTGTCAGGAAAGAAAGACTAGGTTACATTCAACAAGTGGCTCTTAGGCCAGACAAAAAGGAATTTGGACCCTTAAGTAGGTATAGCTTTCAAACAATAAAAGCAATGGTTAATGACACCTCTGGTTTGGTGAGTATTTGGTCTCTGTCTTGCTCATTTTCCTTCTCATTCTCGACCCAGGATTTTATTAGCCTAAAATATTCCAAGATCCTCTGATGACAGAAAAGGAAACGTCCATACAAAATTAAATGTTCATTAAAAGGTACAGCATGTTCATTGAAAGGTACAGCAGGTCACAGAATAGCTTTGTCATAACGACATGAAAGCAGCATAGGCCAAAAGTTAAAATTTCAATAAATGTAATCAGTTTGATTCAATTGAAATACTGAATGTTAAAGTATTAATCAAGTGAACAAATGACAAAGATCAAATATGGGTGAAGCAGAATTATTTACCAAACTTAAAATACAATGTTTAAGAAAATAGATAAGGGTTAGACTATACCTGTATAAACTCCTCACATTAAGAGTACCTTAATTTTTATGAATGGATAAATTACTGATGTTATCAATGCAATTGCAATATAGCTGAAGGGGATAATTGACAATGCTTTACTTTTTTTGTTTCTTTAGTTTGGGGTCTTTTTAAAATGTTTTGGTTATTTGTTTGTTGTTGTTGTTGATCTTATTGGTTCTGTTTTTTGTTTTTGTAATAATATGACTGCCAAAGTAAACCAGAGTCATTCATAAGGGGAGTGGGGAGGGGGCAGCAAGGAGGGGCAAACTGATGTATTCTGGGCTCCCACATAATTCTACCCCTAACCAAGAACAGTTCGTTCTCCTGACATGGCTCTGCTTGAGACTCGCCTTCACAAAGAGATCACTGAAGACAAAGTGTGGTGAAGAAAGCACATGGTGCCAGGCATCAACTGGAATAGTGTTTGGGGTCTTAAGGCTTATGTTCAAACGAACAGCCATCTAAGTGAGGTGTCAACTAAGTCCATACGGAAGAAGCACACCAGTCTGTGTGACACAAAGATGACATTAACAAAATCCAAATATGGCGAAGGGAGAAGCAACAGGACGTAAATTGAGAACACCCAATTTGTAGAAGGCTATGGAGGTAAGCGGAAACCCAAAATCCACCTGTAGAATGCCTGGTCAGGCCGGGCCTCTGGCAGATCCCCTCTAATCACAGGTGAGGGCCTCAAACGGCTTTACTACCAGACAGGGATTACTGAAAACGTCATGATGGGATCGAACCACAGCACAATATACCTGGTCAGCTGACCTCTCTCTCTCTCTCGAACCAACCTGAATTGGCTCGAGGCTCAAATATTTCTCAATTTTTCCAAGACAGAAATTTCTTCTCTGGCTTTTTAATATTGTTGGTGTTTTTTCTTTCTTAATTTTTATTTTTATCTTTATACTTGTTATTTTTGTTTTCTTCTTTCTGTTTCACTTTGGTTTTGTTTTTATTTTTTCTGGTAGGTGTCCCAATTTAGGAAGCATAGAAGGAGTGGATGCACAGAGATCATGACTAACATCATGGTTTATCTGGAAGGGGGAAGAGGGAGGGAAGGGGAATTGGAAAACAATCAGGGGATGCGGGAGTGGGGAGGAAGCATTATAAGTGATTGTGATGATGGATATATATAATTCTTTTTAGAAGTGGTTTGTTCTGTGTATATTATATCAAGAAAACTACTTTTTAAAAAAAGCAACTTGACCTATGGTTCCCATGGGTGAGGGCAGAGGGCTTTTCCCTAAGGGGCACTGAGTTCATTTTAATGGAGATGGAACAATTTGGAGAGAGACAGCAATAATGGTCGTGTAACACAAAGACTACAGTCAATGGCACTGAATTATACATGAGAAGTTGTTGATTTAGTGAATGTTTTGTTGGGTATACTTGTGCCAAAATTGAAAACAAAAATTATATGAATAACAATGAGTTTTGGAAAAAGGAAAATGTTCTGAAATTGATCGTGATAAAGACTACAACTCTTCTTGATATAGCTGAATCATTGGATTGTATGATAAGTGGATGAAGTGCCAATAAAACTGTTAAACAAAAAAGACAATAGATAAGGATTAGTGGGGAAAATCTTTCTCACAATCCTCTTATCTCGGAGAAAACGTTTCAGAGAATGGGACCATTATGAAAAACTGGGCCTCCACCTGTGAGCCATTTAAGTTCAAAATGTTGGGGTAACTCCCATATGTGAAACAGATACCCTGAGCCTCCTATGAGATACATATTCCCGCCTTACTAAGGAGAATACTGAAGCTGAGAAGTTAGTATCCCAGATTCAGTAGGTAAGTGTCGGCTAATTCAAACCTTTGGTACAGTAAGTCACCTTGCAACAGCAACTGAGGTAATCTCAATCCTTATGTGTTCAATCTACTTCCAAAACAAGTGGACCAAAGCCACGGTTTTGTAAAACCTATCTAAGAAAATTGAAAACAAAAAGACTTGTGTGTGTTGTTTTGGTTAACAGTCATTAATTTAATGACATGAGGTAAGACTGTATATACTCGTGTATAAGCCGAGTTTTTCAGCACATTTTTAATGGTTTTTGTGGTAAAGTTAGGTCCCTCGGCTGATATTTGGGTTGGCTTATCCTTTAGTATATACGGTAATTCTGACAATGTCCTATCCCAAAGCTTCCTGCCTTGATTTTGTATCTCGAGGGTCCAAATAGGTAGAAAAAAATGGCCGCAGGGACACTAACCAGTCAGTGTGCATTCTCCCTGTCCCCGGCCATGGTGCACTTACTGAAGCCGTCTGTTGTTGTGTGGCTGCAGCAGCAAACCTGGCCACGTGATTTATGATTGGAGAAAAATTAGTTGGTCCATAGAGTTTTATCTGAGGAAGGCAGGCCCGATATGCCTCCACAATGCCTTGGATTCCTAGACAACAAAAGCAGTATTAAAAAAGCTCAAGCAAAACCGAATTATGTATTATTCACCATGCTTGCTCAGTTAATTACATACATTAACAGATAGTGCTTTAAAGAGTCAAACAGTCTATGTTCAGGAATTCTTCTAAGCGCTGTATTACAAAACACCAAAGTCAGGGTGCATTGCAAAAGCACGCCATCGCTGCCGTCTCCCAGTGGAGGCATTTCTTTTCATTCCAGTGAGAGCATTCATTAGTGCATAGTAGGATTGCAGCACTTGTGCTTAATTTTGATGTGATTTAGGAATGAGATTCTCATCGAAAAAAGAAAGAAACACACATGAAAATGCACTGTCTCATCCAACTGACAAGAACAAAAAATTACTGATAAAATAGCAAAATGTTTGCATGGATGGCCAGACACTATAAATCTAATGCTAACAGCTCGAGTTTATTCAATAACTTAAAAGTGAAGCATGGTACGGCAGCCAGTGGTAATAAAGACGGCACCAGCAGTCTTCCCTGAAGCGGAATGCTCTGTGGAAAAGCTAGCCATGACTATAGCAAGGATAACAGTTTCTTCCACTTAGACCACCAGTCTGTTGTTTTTCAACCTGGAGGTATAAACAAAACCGTTCATTCCATTTCTCCGCAAATCTCAATTGCCTTCAATTCCCCAACTGAAACGGAATTATACCCAAATCCCTCCTTCCCACTTTAAAGGAACTAGTGAGATAGGTTATTTCTACACGGCTCACTTCAGTGATTAACTGTGCACCCGGTGGAGTGTCCTGGTCTTACAGTAAGGCTGCATTCTTTCTGTGGTATGTCTCCTGAGTCTGACATACCACAGAAATAATGCAGCCTTACTGTAAGACCAGGACACTCCACCGGGTGCACAGTCCAAACTATAAACCACACGTAGAAAAGCTATTCTTGGTTGGGAAGCTCCCCAAAACCTTATATTACTCTAAAATAAATGAACAAGTGATATGTCATCCACACTTATAATAAATCAAATCTAATTAAAACCTATTTTAAAACTTATTTTCATACACACAAAGCATATTTTTCAAGCAGGAAAATATTTGCAGTTTCAATGGGCTAGAGATAAAAAGGCCAAAATTAGCTACTAAAAGTGCCTCAAAGGAGCACTCGATTATGTTTTCTTAATCTTAAATCATTAAATTTATTAAAATAGACACTTATTTAGTTATTCTTTTACTCAAGTCACAAGTTTAAACAATGGAGAAGCTCCCTCATTCACATCAATGATATTTTTGTTCTAGGTTTTTGATACCTGAACCCATACACGCCTTATGATCAGAGGCTAATGTGCTTCTTCCATGTGGGCTTTGTTGCTTCCCAGCTAGATGGCCGCTTGTTTATCTTCAAGCCTTTAAGACCGCAGATGCTCTATCTTTTGATAGCTGGACACCATCAGCTTTCTTAACGATTTGCTTATGCACCATTTGTCTTGGTCAGTGATCGCGATCGTGTCAGGAAGGTAAACATCTCAGAATGCCAGATTATTAAACAAAGTGTTCTTGCATTGGGGGAGTACTTAAGTAGAGGCCCAATGTCCGTCTGCTGCCTTAATATTTAACATATAACTATATATACATAGATCTATGTCTCTATCGTTATATATAAATGTATTTACATATTTGCATGCTGGTATTTAGACCTCTATAAATGTCCTTTGCCTCCTAGTTCTTTCCTCTATTTCCTTTTACTTTCCTCTTGTCCCACTACCACGCTCAACCTTGCTTCAGCTTTCAGTAATTCCTCGGAGCACTGGATGATTGTGGGGAAAATAGACTAGGGAAAAAGAAGAAAGTCCAAAAGCAAATTGGCCCCCACAAAACCTTTATGTTCTATTTTGTGAATGCTATTTATGAAAAGAAAAGAACATTCCCATCTGTCAGAAACATACATCTTTTGAATGTCAAAAGGAACTTCTGCCTAGAATTATACTCCTGCTTCCACCTCTCTTTCCTCCTCCAAGTTGTTCAATATTCCAACAACAACATTCTGTGGGAAATAAGGCATTTTGTTTTACTGTTCGTCCTTTGGGAGGAATGGGATGTGAGAGAAATACATGTTTTACTTTAAGGCTATTGCCGTTTCCCCACACATTAGTGCTGTCCATTGTTAGTTGTCATCCAGTCGGCTCCAACTTACGGAGACTCCATGAACAACAGAAGGAAATGCCGCCCATCCTACATCATCCCAGTGACCAATGGTCTGCTAACGTCCATTTTTGTGGCTACTGGGTATTTTGAGTGCTTTCTAAACCAGGGGCTCTTGTTCCAGCATTCCATCAAACAAAGAGATTCTTGGAAGACCAGGCCTTCTCTCCTAGTCGGTCTTAACCTGGAAGATCTGCTGAAACCTGCCCACCAGGGATGACCTTGTCGGAATCTGAAATACACAGCTTCCACCACCACAGCATCAGGTAGGCCACTGGAGTAGGGCAAACAGAACAAAGGAATGGTGGTGCCTTCCATAGGTCTTTGCCTTTTAAAGCCAGTGCACAGTGCTGGGCAAGCTCCCTCATACCAGCTACCCTGCATGGAAGAGCCTCTTCCATAAACAATCACCTTGTCCCTAGCTGCCTTCTGGACCCTGAAAAGTTCCTTCCAGAACAAGGGTCCGGGCCATAGCCATCATCTCAGGCTGCATGAACTACTTCCAGATCAGATCCCCTGATCCCAGGTAGGCTGGCAGGAAAAAGACGAGCTTCTCACATCTTCACTTCCCTCCCCAGCCCCCATGAACTCCTCGGATAGCGGAGGCTTCCACACTGGGGACCCCAGCTCTGAACAGTGTCCTCCTCTCTGGATCCTGCCCCTGACCAAGTTCTCTCCTTTCCATTTTCTGTTTTTTTTTTTCCTCTTCTTTTCCTTCCCTGCTGTTTATGCTTTGTTTTCCCTATTTCTCTTTTCTTCTATTCTTTTCTCTGAGCTCCTTTCCCTTGTTGTTCTTGGCTCTTTTTCGCTGTTGTTTCCCCTTCCTAGTCTTGTCTCTTGTAGTTCTCCCTTCTTTTTCCCTTTGCTGCTATTCCTTCAACCATAACTGAGGGATGGTTGTAAACTCGCTACTAGATAGAGAGCCTTGGAGAGATGAGTAGAGTAGATTAAAATGATCCATCTGACTTGAACGGATAAAGCTTTGTCACTTGATCTCTCCTCTGATACACTTGGGCTTAAACTGGTTTTTAATATTTTCTGGATCTTTTTTCCCCCACATCGGAGTTTATCTCTGTTGGATGTTGCCTTCTTGAATCTCTGCTGTCTGTTTTTCTGGTTTTCAGTATGTGAAACCCAGGATTGATGGACTGAACAAGACAACAACTAGAATAAGAGTTCCTGGGGGAAACGTAAGGAAGGGGTGGGGGATGCTGGGAGAGCTGATATCAAGGAGTTCAAGAAAGAAGGAAAAAATGTTTGAAACTGATATTGGCAGCAATTGTACCACGCTGCTTGATGTGATTGAACTATAGAATGGTACGCTATCTGGATTAGCTCCTAATACAATGGTTTGGAAAAGAATGGAATAAAAATGTATTAAATGAAATTATTATGAAAAGACAACATGATTTGTCCAGAAAACCTAGTTTAACACACTCGGCAAAAATAAAAAACTGGGGGGGAACCAATTACAAGAATCTAAGTATAGCCTCCTCCCTGGGGAATGGACAGCAGAGAAGAGGGTGGAGGGAGACGTCGGACAG